AAAATTACAAAAATATTCACCAAAATTAGAGAATTGAAGATATCATCACGAAATGAACAAATCTGAGAGAGGTTCACATGTAGTACCTATATATGTAGTATCAAAGCAATTGGACTTGCGGTTTTAACAAGAAGTCGAAAATATCACTTTTTACCAAAAATGATAAAAATATTCACCAAAATTAGAGAATTAAAGATATCATTACAAAATGAACAAATCTGAGAGAGGTCCACATGTAGTACATATATATGTCATATCAAAGCAATTGCAATTGCGGTTTTTAACAAGAAGTCGAAAATATCACTTTTTACCAAAAATTAGAGAATTGAAGATATCAACATGAAATGAACAAACCTAAGAGAGGTCTACCCAAGGTACATATACACCAAGTATCAAAGCATTCAGGCTTGTAGTTTTCAAGAAGAAGTCAAAAAAGTAAAACATTGACACGGACGACGACGACGGACAATCACTCATATGATAAGCTCCGCTCGACAAAGTCGACAGCGGAGCTAAAAATTGTTAATTGCGTAAAACAAGGGCTGAACGCAAAATAGCTGTGACAGCTTTCTGCCTTCAGGGCAGCTCATTCACCGCTGATTTTTTTCAGAATCATAACAGTCAGCAAGTCTATAAAAAATATTAAAGCAGAAACGTTAGTTCTCTTTTTAAAATATGTCATGGCCCTAAAAAGGGACGACCGTTTGGTTTGTGCTTCTTTAGAAACGATTCAAGCAAATTGTCTCACTCGTTTAGCTTTAGCGTTGTCGACAATGAAAACAATGTTGCAATATTGTAGCAACCCGTACCTGGGAGAATGGTTGAAATCACGTTATTTTGGCTTTATAAAATATTTTGTAGCAGCTTGCGAATCCATAACTGGGGACAGCAATTTTGCAATGTCACGCCGAAGACTGACAACTTTTTTACCATCTTTTATCACCGCTATTGCATTTCTGTCATGAAAACTATTCTTCTGTCGTTGGATAAAAAAAAATTTCTATTTTAAGTCCACCGCGATATCCATAGTGAGACATTCCAACTGCCGGAAACTGCTGAATGATAACTTTCACCGTGATTAATAAGCGTCGAGTCTGATAAGGAAGCAATGTCACAATTTGACCTTTATGATGAAATACTAGTAGTGATGTCATTCTTAGCCAATCAGTAAAGCAGATGCATAAAGGTCAAAGATGATTGCTAGACTGTAAACAAAAGCATCGTGTGCCATCGCAGCAGAGCGACCCCATTTTTCTTGTCTCTTTATTATGATTAGACATGAATGAAAAGTGCCAAGCTGACAGACTGCGAAATCCGTGTTTTAAAAGTGCCAAGTCCAAAATGTGTGGGACGATATCGACGAACTTCAGGAATAAGTTGTAGGGATTTTGTTTGACGGCTACAGTGACGCCGACTTGGACATTTGAGGGTTTTGAGTTTGACGAAGATGGCAATGAACATACAAATAAAGATCTGAGAAGTTTTTTTCAAACAACTATGAATTTTTATAATTTTTACTGTGTAAATTTATAAATTATTATTGATCTTGTATGATGGTTGATTCGTAATTTGTCGAGACCGGAAATCATTTTACGCAGTTTAACCCCCGACATTTTAATTCATTTTGAGTTCACGCGTATTGGTCGTGTTTGTCGGCGGGAAAATCCTAATTCAAATGATTCCTCACTGTCGATTTTTATTATTTCTGGTTTATTTGTCACATTATATGCAATATATTATTTTTGTTTTACTTCTAGTGTTGCATATTGTTCATTTATTTCCGTTGCATGTTTTCATTTGCCGTTCTATTCCCTGCCGCAGTTCGATCTGCGTGTTGTCAATTTTCGCGAATTTTCGTTTAATTTTTGCCGGGGATCTCCTGGCAAACACCCACCCCTTCTTTTTGGCAATTTTCCATGTTCAGGACCCTTGGCTTATACCCGGATAAATACGGTACTAGTCCAGAAAAGTAGAAAAGCAGCAATATTTCATCAATATTTACATCACACCTACCTAAACAAGCATAGCCCGCAGCAGAGGATGCTAGACCAGCTGCTGTTGGAAAGTTGTTTTCAGAACAAATATGGACTGACCAGTTCAGCATCTCGGATTTGGAATCATCATTATGTTTTCGCTTCCGAGCACGTCGTCTAACTGAACAACAGACAAATTAATAAAATTATGAAACAAATTCAATTTAAAATTTGTCTTTTCGCAATCTACAACAGATGATGATTCGGCATATTTCAGTGCTATGGAGAATTTAATTCATCAGTGATCAGCTCCTATACAAACAAATCATAAAATTATAAATACCTTCTTATCATCACTACTACAAAGCTAACAGACCTCACAGTGGTTGAAATTAAATATTAAAGTTGTCTATCCATTAGACAGGTTGGAGAATAAAAGTACCTAGGGTAGGGTTTTAAGTTGAGGAACTTGGCAGAGAAACAATATATCTTATTGCTATTTAACATGTTTCACATAAATTTAATTTAGCATATTAATTATCAGTGAAAATAGCGAAATTAAAACCACCAAATAATTAATGTATTAACAGTATCCAACGTCAGTGACATATAAAACAATAAACATTAAACACACAAAATTGAAAATCCTAACATTAATTACTAAAGTTTCTAATGACAAATGTGTGAATATAATTATTCAAATGAGCAGTTTGCTTACTTTCTATTAAACAGTTTTGAATTCTTGGATTTTCTATTGATTCTTCTCTGAAATAAAAAGAAATAAACTGGTTACCTATATAGACAAGTACTGGTTCCTGCTCTGTGTGATCATTAGCCAGGGTACTGTTAAAACGTAGGAGTTGAGGTTCATAGTTCTATATTTATTTAATAATGCGCACACCCCTTGTAGAGATGGAGATGGTTTTCAAATGCAGAAAATGTAGAAAAAAATCAGCTGAAACAAAATACAAGTCAGAAACAACCAAGACAAGAAAGAAAAACAATTACTGTCATCCATTGTTAGGAAAATCTGCATATTCAGATTATTCAGATTAGCAGGACGTTATGTTTGTCAGTCAACCAATTTCACAACCACCCAATGGCAACGGAGGCAAAATATTAGCTGAAAATTGAGTATCCATGGAGTGATAGTCTGATACTCAAACTGCATGAGCAGACACCTGTCAATTCTACAATAGGATTAGGGGTTGATTTTCTGTCCAGTTGTTCTTGAGAACAAGCTTTATAATACATTTCATTTTCATTTTTGGTTTTGGATGAAAGGATACAAAAATGTTTTTGTATTTTTTTCATAATATTTAGGTAGAAACCAAAAAAAAGTCATGAGTGACTCTTTTTGAACTGATGCAAACTGACCAAAAACTATTAATTTTATTTGGCATTAGATATATAGTTATGTTTCATTTTTGTTTATGAATAGAAGATTTGGCAAGAGACAAATTTGGACGAATTTTGTCAGTGAGTCAGTCAAAATATTGAAGCTGTGAAAAATTCATTTACTTCCTAAAGACACAGTGACTTTTATCCTGTCTCATAAACTAATTTAAATTGCAAAAAATTGATAGTTGCACAAAATAAAAAGTTTACAGTTATTTCTAGCAACAACATGCAACCATGGATGCAATGATACACAAAATAAAAGATACCTTAGCAACATAGAACAATATCAAGGAGTGAACCATTTGATAATCGGAGAGGGGGTTTAGGGGATGGAGGGGTGATTTTTTTTTGTTATTTTTTTTTTACTTATTACTGAGGCTGAATAAAAAATTCAGGATGTCAGATTCACCCTTTTTATTCCTTACTCTGAATGGTCCATCCCTAATGTTATAACAAAAACAAGACCGGTCACTCACTTTCCATTCAGCCATAGTCTATCCCGTTTGAATTCCTTGGATATAGACGCAGTAGTTGTTGATTTTAAATGATCTTGATCCAATGAAGCACTCAGTGAACTATTAGTTGGTAATATTAGTTGTTCATCTCGCTTACCCCCTGCGGATAAATAAAAAAAAAACTTGTACCAATCAAAGCAGAAAATGAAGAAATGTACATACGGGATGTGTAGTATAAACAATTGTTTAATTTGCATCTTTATCGGTAATTACCATGGTAACAAGAGAAGTCGGCCAGCAAAATAACGGAGAAGTCGGTCAGTGGGAGAAGTCGGTCAGTGAACATCAGAGAAGTCGGCCAGTGGGGAAGTCGGCCGGTGAAACATCGGAGAAGTCGGTCATTACGTACATACTACGTTCGTACATATTTACATTTTTTTTTCCCGAAAAGTCGACCATTACTGGACATGGTATTTACTATGCTCGTACATATTGACTACAAATATTTTTTCGTGCGTCAAGTACAAAAGTGAGGAGTCGGCCATTTCGGTACAAACTTAGTTCGTACATATTGACTACAAACATTGTTTTTCGTGTGTAAAGTACGAAAGTGGGAAGTCGGCCATTACAGTATAGACGTAAGTCAGTTTTTACAGTACAGATTGCGTTCGTACACTTTGATTACGGAAAATGTGTTTTTGTGTGTCACGTACTATTAAAAAAATGTGAGTAAGTGAGAAGTCAGCCATTACATTACAGACTACGGAATTCAATGTATTTAATTGTTATTTTAACCATATCCGTCTCCCAGGAGACGCGATTGTGTCTTGAATAAACTAAACTTAATTGACAGTTAGTAAATAACATGTCTTTCTATTTACAGAGTACTGAAGGGATTTAATTCAGAGCGAATGCATCGGACAGAAAATGTTTTTCTTGTTTGTGTTTAATAAAGATTCAGTTGTGTTGTGTTTTTGACGAGCTTTAGCGGCAGTCCACTCTGACAGTAACCTGCATCGTACCGCAAAGCACATTGTTCAAATCATGGAGCTAAATAAATGAACATCCAATGTACATTGTATTGTAAAACCAAAGTCCGGTTCATACCCGTCTGATTTAGTCTGTTATTCTATTTAATAAAGATTGAGCAACATTTGAGCGCTATTATTTTGTGTATGCCAAGTACATGACCCCACAGGATGTATGCCAGCAAGCATCACACCAACCCGATTAACATCTATTGTCCAAGGTGTTAACTGCCGATATTTTTAATCATACCGACAAATTGCGTTTCTTTTATTATAAAAACACCGACAAAGATTACACTGCTATTGAAGGTGTACAAAGGCCACGAATAATCGGACTATACTTCGTTTTTATTAACCATGGGGAAATCCATTTTTTGTATTGACTAATCGGTCTTTAAGGTACAGACTACATTCGTAGGCGTTGAGTATATACAAAATATTTATCGAACGTCAAGTACGGATTTCAAAATATAAACCTCCATGGTATATCTCTGTTCACCGCACATACATTTTTTCCCTAAATTGCCGACATTTCGTCGTACATAAACTAAAATTATCAAGTGCGCTAAATTATAATTACCATGTAAGTACCGTAAGCACAG